TATTGGAGTTGGCTTTTAATCTCATTGTACATGTGTATAGTGACAATAAAGGCATTCTATTCTACTAATTAAGATATAATGCAAGTCTTAAGGCACTTCTCTTTTCCCGTTGTCTTAAGGATTTAAAGAAAATCTTCAGTCATTATAAATGCCACAAAGCTTGGAGCAACTTTTGAAAATCTACACTTGTGAATGTAAAATGAACCTATAATGAAAATATTATTACATCAAAATTCAACATATTTGACACGGCCCTACTTTACGCTGTCTGGGTGAAGCTCAAACGTCCTACGTGATTGAACGCAACAGCTTTCACTTTGTGGAATGACGTGTCAAGAAAGTGCCGGAAGCTTTCAGTCTGTTCAAAATGGCTTACCAGACGCTACAACAGGAGTACTTGCAGATTCCTGTTGTTACCAGGGCATATACAACCGCCTGTGTCCTCACAACTGCAGCAGTGGTAAGACAAACTCTAACGTTCGCTGTGTGGGCCGGGACTTAGCTTGGTACCGCTTAACCTAGCCAACGTAGCGTCGTTACTTTGCTGCTAGCTCGGTGGTTTAGCTAACGTTAGAGCACCTATTACAGGGATACGTGTCTCAACCCGGTTATCCAGAATGTTAACTCTCGTATTCAAGTCGCTAAAAGCCAAAAGCGTAGCTACATGTCGCCTGAGCCTTGGTTTAATTTTAACCAGTGAAACATAATCGTAAACGGAGGTTGAGTTGACGGAGGGCTCAGAACCAGCTGTGTGTCTGATGTTAGAGCTGCCGGGTAACAGCTGACTGTGACTATATGCTGTTTCCTTTCAAAATCTGGTTAATGGCGTATCGATGAGTTTTACTTAAAATCTGAATAAAATGTAACATATAAAATTAATTAAATATGAAAATATACATTAACTATATGAATCACGAGAAACCAATTCATTTGAACCAACTTTCATTATGTGTTATTACATACACATTATCTAGTGTTAAAAAAAATATTTCTAGATTCTTTTCTGAGTAAAAATTGTAATCCCACCGTGTAAAATACTCCATAACAAGTAAACGTCCTGCATACGAATTATTTTCTTAAAGATCCCCTCCAGACATGTATTAAAGCTGCAGTAAGTAAATAAAAAAAAAACTTTCACTAGGCTATTATTATTTTAGGAATCCAAATTCGAAATTATATTAACAATTTGGCTATTTTTATTATATTACATTATATTTATTTTTATAAAAATTACCTTTTGTCATATTTTCGCTATATCCTGACAGTAGTACATGAGACAGATAATCTGTGAAACAATCAGGTTCCTCTGGCTCCTCCTAGTGCTCCTAATGCGATCCTTACAAGAATCCACCAGGCCTGAATGAAAACAACCAATCAGAGCCGAGAAAGATAGTTGATCGTTGAGACTTTCCAGGTTGTCAAATACAGACAATTTGGGAGTCTGGGAATGAGACTAAGCACTCAACTTTCCATCTAAACAATGCAACCACACATTTTATACCATTTTATATATTTATTTATATCTTTGTTGTTCGCAGATTAACAACAGGCTCTTTTCTTATCAACCTCTTTGCACGCATTCATGCTTGTTTATTGATGTTTAAAATTATATGAAACAACTAGAAAGAAAATATATATATATTTCGGGACTGATTATGTGATGTTTTTGACTTCATGTTATGGACTATAATTGTCTATTCAGCTTAATACTGATTTCTCTCTCTTCTCTCAGTGAGAAGATTGGCTATTTCTATATCATTCTTGAAATCAAGGCGGTAGAAACACTACGCTTTTGTCCAGAGGAGTCGCCACAATCAAAATGAAATGAAAGTTCCTCGTAGAGGGTTTAATATTGAACATTATGGTGCTATGGGGAGTGGATTTAGCTGAAATGTTTTTGTCAGTGGTTCATTGTGGAGCTCTTAATAGCACAAAGCATATGAAAGGTGTCAGTGAAAACTGTTTTGTTCTGCACTTGTTCTCACAGTCTGCTCAGACTGATACGTGTCAAAAGGGAATAATGTGGTCACTGTGCGCCCCTCGGTTTCTGATGCACAGACGTTACACTGCGCATTGAGTGAGGAGGAAAACAGCTGCCTAAACCACAGTGTTCAGGGGTAAACGTTTTCTTGCAAGATGTTTTCACAGTTTCAGTCCTACCACACACACTGATGGGCTCAAACTTAATTCATGCTGCTGACAACTCTTCAGTTGCCCGTACTCTCATCTGATTAATGACTAAATCTATGCAATCAGAACAGTGGGATCTGCATTCGTATTTCCCACAGTTTCTGTAACATCCTACATCATAACCCTCAGCTTACATTTACAACACAGGTCTAAACACAAACATCAATAGTGTTTTTGAAAATCTATACAATATCACAAAACTAATTATGATACACCCCTGCTGTATATGGATTATATATTCTACAGTCTCAGTGTATTTACAAGCTTTAGAATAACACACCACCAGTGTACACAGTGGTTTCCAGGAGTTGATCCAGGAAGAGGCCCATCTAACAGGCAGTGGAATGAGGAGGGTCACTTCCTTGAGCCTAGGGTTTAAATTGTAATGCTGTTTTGTTTTTGCTCCATCATATTGTGACATCTTGACCATTATTGTTATCATTTTCAGCATTCTGTTTGTTTTGTCTTCTCTCACAGCAACTAGAGATCATCACACCATTTCAGCTATACTTCAATCCAGATTTGATTCTAAGGAATTACCAGGTGAGTAATCTGAGCCACTGCTTATCATCTTCATCCTCATGAAGTGGATTCAGAACACATAACCTCTTATACCCTTCACAGCCTTCATAACACCCCCAGCTGCCTGACTTAGTAAACCAAAAAGTAGTTTTAAAGTCCAGCTGAAATGAAACTGCAGTTTGTCTGCTACAGCATCCATATCTGCTCTGTTAATTACTTTGCACTGAGGCGCCCTGTTGGCTTGCCTGGTGGAGCTAGCATCCCAAGTGCCGAGGCTGGGCCCTTTGCTGCATGTCATCCCCTCTCTCTTCCCATTTCCTGTCTATCTTGAGCTATCCTGTCCCTAAATGTCAAAAAGGCCCTCAAAAACATATGCATATATATATAAAATATCACTTGAAACCATACAGGATTTCATGATGGCACCCCCCTATTTATGCATTCCCTCCATCAGGTATCTTGTCTACATAGCTGGAGATGATATTTCGATGCAGCCAATAAAGTTTTGCATAAAGCAAACATCAGCCATCTATCACACTGAGCAGCCTGCAACACAACACAAGAACCACAGACCCTGAAAAACAACCCACATAGCTTTCCTGCTGAAGTCTCCTTCTTATCTTACTTACAATCATGAACACGTCTTGACCTGAACCTTTTTTCAAATTTTGATGAATGAGCGACCATAGTAAATAACCAAAAAGCTTTGAGTACCACAAAGGTGTGTGTTGGAAATACAGTATGGGCCCCCAGCATTTAGAAAATGCCAGAATTCAGCAACTGCTTGGCTGATTTGAACAATATTGCAGTAGCTTTGGTGGGGTTATAAAAGTACAAAATGGCAGTTTAAACTAGAAGTAGCTATCTTTCAACTGGGACGATTAATGAATTTGATTAATTTTTAGTTGATTTTGAGGTTATTTATGTGCTTAATATATAACCACAGCAGCAAAGACACAGGTCAATGGCAAAATGCTGTACAGTAAAAAAACAGCAACAGAACTGAAGACATTTGAAGAAATATTAAGTTTTAATATTTGCACCAATGACATTGAGCTTACTTCATTCCAAAATGCAGGTGCAATGTGTTAATGGGTCCAGCACCTTCAATAACCCCCAGATCCACAGCCAAGCAGTCGCTACAATATCGTCTATATAGGTGATCATGCTTATTAAAGCTAATTATGCCAAGTGCCCAACAAATGCAATTTAACATCTGGCAGTTTCTAAATGCTGGGGATCCATACTGTACATTTCTAAGATAAAACCTTGGGGTAGGCAGCATTTTCGGGTTCACATTTGCTGGCAGGTAGGGCTGTGTATTGGCAAGAATCTGACGATACAATACATATCAGGATGCAGGAGTTATATGTTTTTACATTTCATATTAAGAAAATGTTTATAGTATAAAGAACACAGCACTATATGCAACGCCCATCCAACATCATAGGCCTTCACATTTACAACACTGCTATTGAGCTGTCAGGGGTCTAAACACAACAATCAATAGTGTTTTTGAGAATCAGAAAACTATTTTCTATTGTACTATAATTTCTTACACCCCTACTGGCAAGTAGACCATACCTGCAAAAGTAACTTCAATCTAGTAAGATGCCCATGTGTTCCTTACTCTTTAGCATTACTAACAACATGCCCATGACATGTAACTTGGACTGTAACAGCACAAGATTGTTTACTTTGTCTCTCGTTGCCTGCGGTGTAACACTGGGCTGCTGTCAATCAAATGGCAGCCAGCGGAGATGAATATGAGCATTTCTGATATTTCCCCAAAGACCATTTCCTTCCTTTTAATGACCAAAAAATACTAACGGTACATTTAAAAAAACACATTTCCATTGTTTTTTACTACATTAAGGATGACTAAATGTGATTACAGTTGGACTAAAGTTAGTGTTAAATGATAATGCTGATTAGTGTTACATCAGACTGTAGATTCAAATCCGTTTTTGTCAGAATAAGAACAGAAATCCACAATGTGGTTTACCTCAACTGTCAGTGGTTTCATATCATGATTAAAATGGAATTAGTTCTTTTTCATTTCTTCTTTCACACAAAAAGAAATCATTTTTGTGATACAGACTGCTCTGAGCCCTATAGCGATCATTCACAGGTCACGTGACCTTCCCATCACTATGTTGAGCAGTTAAACAAAGCCTCTAGTCGCTAATAAAATGCAACTATTTTTGGATCAGGGAACAATGTGTGTATGTTACGTACAGCTCAATGTTCTCTCTCTCTTTCTCTAGGTATGGCGACTAATAACCAACTTCCTGTTTTTTGGACCAGTTGGCTTCAATTTCCTGTTCAATATGATTTTTCTGTATCCTTCTCAGTTCCACATTTCATTTCATTCAGCATGTGAGGTTTTGCATACTTTCTGTTTCACAGTGGAAGGCTGTATGTGGATGATGAAACTTGACACTAAAATGATCTCTGTACACACACATAGAGATCCAAACTTTGATGTGGCAGTTTAGTATTTGTGTAGGGGATGATGCTGAGATCTGTGTATATTTCCTTAACCGCTTGCTTTCAGCTACAGATATTGTCGTATGCTTGAGGAGGGCTCTTTCAGGGGACGCACGGCTGACTTTGTCTTCATGTTCCTCTTCGGTGGGCTTCTGATGACTGTATCCTTACCATTATGGTGTCATTCAAAATGTATTTTAACTTGCAGATAATGAAGTCTTTGGTGAACAATCCAATGAGCAGTAACTCATTTATTACTTGCATTGACCTCAACATTAACTACAGTTTTTTATTCCAAAAAAAGACAATATTCAGCTAGGCTGTTTACATAGATAATACAACTGAATATTCTACTAATATTCCTGTTTACATGCATCTGTGTATACTCTGATTGACCTAAGTGTTCCTCCTTATCCTTTTCAACCTGCAGTCGTGTTGCTCCCGTGGTAAAACAGCTGGAGCTGATTGTCAGTTGCGTCTTTCCATTAAAAGAGGGTTTTTTCCAGTTTTTCCACCGGTAGTAGTGGACTTGTTTGGCCATGCAAACACAGCTTCCTTATTCTTTCAACCCCCTCGTTGAAAAGGTCGGCGTTGCAGAATTTTGCACATATCCAAAAACCTGTTTATATTCAAGGCTGCCATAAACACTAGGTGTTTTCTCCTTACAACCAGAAATGTGGGCTTTTCTTTTGTGCACACATCTCTACTCCAGCCTTGCAAACTGTTGGCTAAGTGGTTGGTTTACAACCTGCAGAGCAGACGGTAAACAGGCAACTGCAGCAAAAACTATTATTAATTAAATTATTTATTTGTGTTTGTTTATTTATTTATTTATTTACTGGATCCTCATTAGCTGATGCATAACATCAGCTATGCTTCCTGGGGTCCACACAAAACATGATAAGATGAGACACTTACATACAAACTCACATACAAAAAAAACATGCTGAAATTGAATTATTTTTAAATTTTAATTTTAATTCAAAAACATATTGCTATACACAGAATATGCTCCTAACCCTAACCCTTTGGGACTTATGGGATACATTGAACCTGCATCTTTGCTGCTAAATAATGAGACGATATGCCCTCTTGTTTTAGGGGCATATGCTGATTCTCACTGCTGATCATGGTACGAGTCAGTTTATTCTTTAATGAGGTTTCAGATATTTGGCACTTTTGTGAGTCTGGTGTTCCTGGGCCAAGCCTTCACGATCATGCTGGTGTACGTGTGGAGTCGGCGAAACCCCAACGTCCGCATGAATTTCTTTGGCCTGCTGAACTTCCAGGCACCCTTCCTCCCCTGGGTGCTGATGGGATTCTCACTTCTGCTGGGCAACTCTATCATCGTAGATCTTTTAGGTACCTGTCGCTGTCATCTGCAGCCATTATTTAGTGCTGTGGTGATATGCTATGTGTGGTTATTGGTGTACAGTATGAACAGTCCTTGTGTTTAAATGTTTTTTTTCTTCTTTCTTTAAGGTATCGCTGTTGGCCATGTGTACTTCTTTCTGGAGGATGTTTTCCCCAACCAGCCAGGTGGTGGAAGGTGGCTGAAGACCCCATCTATCATGTGAGTCTCTCATTTCTTCTAACATTCTTGCTGAATGAAACAACACTGAAAGCCTGAACCTGTGAGATTCAGTGACTACAGCCTACAATTTGAAAGTGTAGGAATGAATGGATCCTTAGAGTTTTACCTGTAGAATAAACTGTAAGTATACATATTTATCTATGTGTAAATTTGTCATTTTGTCTTTATGACTGCGCTAAGGAAGTTAAATGAAATAGGTTTGTCTTCTGGGGCTTTGAATCTGCTTAGGATGTAACCGCAACCTGCCAGTGAGATTTTGAGATTTATTTATTGTTTATTATCACATTATCATGATTTTATGCTGCTGCAACTATGCAAACCTCTGAGTTAGATCAAAGCTCACAGGGTCACCAAATCAGTATACAAATTCTTTTTGTACCAGTAGTTGTCAGGATGTGTTGGACAGACAAACACAAACACAGGCACTCTTGGGTTGCACCACAAGCAAACCCAAAAAACACTAACAGTCATCCAGGGATGTGTTGTCTGTTTTTTAGTATTAGTTTCACATCATCCCTCATCCTCCTCCTGTGTTTACTCCCACAGAAAGATGCTGTTTGACACTCCAGAGGAAGATGCCAACTACAACCCCCTGCCTGAGGAGCGCCCGGGAGGGTTCGCCTGGGGAGAGGGACAGCGCCTTGGAGGTTAAATATGCCCCAGATCAGGTCACTTCCAAGGACATTCCCTTAAAAAAGATGAAGGGGACAAACATGGTCTTTGTTTCTGACGTGTTTGTTTAGTTCTGGATGAAGAATGCCAAACAACCAGAACTGGTTTGGGGATAACCTTCTGTTGTCTTTGTATATGGGCTTAAATCATCCTCAGAAACTCTTCTTGATGCCAGATCGTCGCTCTAAGACTATTTGAGAGAACACACGCTTCGGATGGAACTTTGGACGGTGGGCCTTCGGGCTCGGGTGATGTTTGTCTTAATCTCCAAAAAAAAGAAAATTGATATACAACAACTGTCATATGCGAGAGCAAAGAACGGCAGCAGTAAAATATTATCAAAATGAATTTATTCAGACGGAAAGTGCATTTTTTTCATTTCACTTTTTTAAAAAATAAATGTGTGTGGCAAAAGATGCTTTGGTTTCATCTCTTTGAACTGTGTTAGCAATGCATGAAACCAAAGACGTCTCAACAAATTAGAGGAATTCCTACAAATAACATTTTAGTCAGCAGACAGGACCTTGTTACTTCACTCTCCTTACACAGCAGCTCATTGTAGCACACAAATATCAAGATCTGTACTTAACTAATGTCCTTAACGTCATAGTCCAGCTGTTCCTCCACCTTCTTTTGGGTTCAGTTCAGGTTCTCCTTTTTTATTTCATTTAATACAAGCAACCTTAAACCAGATATCTGCTTCAGAAAGAACAAGTCCTGTCTATTATTTTATGTGACTGATTTTGCACACATTTATACTTTTTTTCATGTAATTGGGCTCACTAGCCCAGCAGCACTTTGGGGAACAGATTAACCCCCCCCCCTGTTGCTCTTCAGAAGGAATAAGAGAAGTTGTGGCAAATTAATAGTAGAATTGAAAAGATTGATTTTATACTTTCATTGAATGGGAAAAATCTTTTTATGGGCCTTCAATTGAGTTTCTAATAATCTGTGAATAATGTTAAGTGGGCTGAGATGAGTGTAATGACAGACTTTTTTTGTATGATTGTGTTATTCTGATTTATTTTACATTTTTCAGTCACCTTAAGTAAACTGCTTTACAAATGGAGTTGGATTTTACTGTTACAGATATAAATGACCATTCACACATCCATATTAAGGGATGCCATGCAAGTGAAGTTAGAATCAGCATAATACGCTGTATTTCAATATCATCAGTTTACATTCATATTCCCATGTTTGTGTTTCATGTGTTTTGTTTTAAGTAAATATTATGTTGGAAATGTGTATACAATGAGGTGGAAATACCAGATAAATTTTACAGATGAAGAAGAGTTTAATGTGATCTTACTTTACACCAGTAGGGGGCTGTAATGGACTCTAGGAATTGTTCCTCTACCTTGAAACGAATGGAGAGGAAGGTCAATGCAGCGTTCATTATTTTCGGAAAAACCTTTACAAAAGGCGTCAAAAAGCAACGTCGCGGATGACTTCTCTTAACATACTCACTAAAGCGGGCCGTATACAGCAGTGGTTGTAGCATTCAGTTAATTTTGCTTTCTCTTTATGTCGTTTTACACTTATTGAGCAGACATGCTCACAGTTAATGTTTTTTTTTAAAGCAGAAAGCTGAAGTGACCGCAATTTTTACGGAGGACGCTGTAATTTCCCATCTTCTTCGTAGTCCCTGAACACGCAGAGAAGAGAAGACTGCTCAGACTCGACTGCGTAAAGATGCAATTGGCTCTAAGTAAAACGTTTGGCCAGAAGCCAGTTAAATTTCAGTTAGAACAAGATGGGGACTTTTACATGGTTGGGTCGGAGGTATGTGACTATCTATTGATTGACTTTTAGCGCTTATTTTCCTAATGGTAGCCTCAGTTATCCAGTCTTCTGGCTAGTTAATGCTAGCATGCTAACGAGCCCAATTGATGGCTTCGTAAACAAAGAAATGGCTAAAAACGAAGGACGGGATAACTCAGTCCAACAGCCGGCAAATGACAGTGTACATACTGTAGCAGGCCGAATACACAACAGATAACCTACAAGCTTTTGCTGTCGGCAGTAACTTGTCAGCCAGCCTGATGTAAGACCACAAGTTACATTAACATAGAGTATCGTGCAGAAGAGAACCCCCCAACACACACACACACAGTCTTTATAACGTCTGATATCTTAACATGCCAGTTTTGAAGTTGACGTTTTAACATTTAACGTTGTTAACATTTAATAAAAGTTCATATGTACAGTAGTCTACTGTACACACAAAATCCTTACAAAGTCATCTACTCCTTCTAGCTCATTAAAACTTCCAGAATCTCTGAATATGCAAATGTGGTTCATTTGTTGTTCTGTTGTCCTGCTGGACACAAGATGTCTCCTAAACCTTTCACTGTAAGAGTCCCAATTCTCAGTGGAATGAGCAACTGGTGGCTTCCCAGGTTTTAACCCAACTCAACCACGTACAAGTTACATACTGGACCAGGAGATAAAGGGGATAAAGCTTCTGTGGTCTGATGAGACCAAAGTTTAGCTTTTTGACCATCAAACTAAACAGTATGATTGGTGTATGTTAAACCCAGCATTGGCACCATAAACGGAGGTAAAGGCAGCATCATGCTGCAGCAGGCCCTGGAAATTTCTAATGAAATATGTCTTTGAAATTTAAAAGCTTAAGTAGTGCGAGGAAGAAGATCGAGGGAGCAATGTTAGTGTCCACAGCTGGCCACAAAATCAAGGCTGACACTACCAAAATGACCTCTACTTACAATTTACAATTAAATGAAATTAAACAAATCTTTGTGTCAAAAGTTATAGAGATACTTTTTACAAGTCCTGTAATTCAGTACGTATGTAGGCACTTTGCATTGTCCTTGTTTGTTTTTTTGTTTTGTTTTTTAAAATTTTGCTTTATTAAAAGATCTGCCTTCTGCCGTTCAGGTGGGAAACTATCTGCGTATGTTCAGAGGCTCTCTGTATAAAAGATATCCGTCTTTATGGAGGAGGCTGGCCTCGGTGGAGGAGAGGAAGAAAATTGTAGCATCGTCACATGGTGAGTGGTGTGTGACAAAGTCAGTTTGGAAGGTCCATAGGTTGTTATGTAATGATTGCTGTATAAATGACTGATATTGTAGTCAACCTAGACATTAGCTGAAGCAAAATGTGTAAAGTGAAATGAGCTTTAAAACATTCTTCAACTTTTTGACTTTTTTTAAGTTTATGAATTGTATCATTTGCATAAATAGACTGGAGCTGGTGGAGGTGATGAAACTGGTGAATTGGTGGTTAACGTGGCCAGTTACACATGCTCAGCAACTTTAGATTTACTACATAGAATCTGAACTAAGGTTGATAGGCGTCTGTGTTTTCTCTCCCATCATCCATCTGCAGCCACTAGCGTCACTCTGCTGAAGGCGTCAGAGTGTGAAGAGATCTTCGAGGGTAATGATGAGAAATACAAGGCGGTGTCCATCAGCACAGAGCCCCCAGCTTACCTCAGGTCATTTCTGTCACATTCTAACATTTTCTAACTTTGAATGAAAATTAAACCAAAAGCATCTGTCATAAACTAGAGGTGTAGAATTAAAAAGACATGGGCATTTACCAGTTAGGGGATGGACGAATGATGCTATCTATTTGCATTATGGGAAATGCAGGATCCAGTCTTTTTGGAGCTTGACCAGCATATATTCATCTGTTCCTTGTGAGTCCCCCAAGTTTATGGAAGTACAGTACTTAATAGCTTCCACACCCTTCTCAAAATTGTGTTGTGTGTTCTTTTGATAAAGGGAGCAGAAAGCAAAGAGGAGCAGCCAGTGGGTCCCCACGCTGCCCAACAGCTCTCACCATCTAGACGCTGTGCCTTGCTCCACCACCATCAACCGCAACCGAATGGGCCGTGACAAGAAAAGGACCTTCCCCCTGTGGTGAGAATGCTGCTTGTTTTTTATAAGGAAAGCAACTAATGCAGCAGTGTGGCAGTTCTGCATCTATTTATATTTCAGAAGTTCCACAGGGTCAAAGTGTAAAATCCAAGAATCTGAATTTTAGGCCTTAAAATGTCTTAAATGATTTCGAATGGTCTTGAAAATTGATTGTATTAATAAAGTTAATGTTACTTTTATAAAGTAGCATTTTTCAGTGTTTGCTGGAACAGCTACAAAACCAAACCCATACATTGCCAACACTGATCCTTGTACTTTTTTTTTTTTTTTTTAACTTTTTTACCAGTATGGACATAAAATAGGTTGCATTCATAATGGTCTTAAAAAGTACCTGCAGAAACCCTGAACATACAGTACATATGTATAATCCACAGAGCTTGTTGTGAGCAGTTTCATGTAGGAACTATTTTCTCTGTATGTATCACTGCGCAGAAGGAAGTGTGCGTCTGCTCATGGACCAGAGGCTTGTGCTCATGATGATGAACATTATATTCAGTTTCTGCCAATAGATCCTCCTAAATGTTACATACTGGACCATTTAAAGAACATTTCTGAATAAACAACAATAATCCTGTTTTGTTGTGTCTCCTTCAGCTTCGATGACCACGACCCTGCAGTGATCCATGAGAACGCAGCCCAGGTAGAGGCTCTGGTTCCCATCCGTCTAGACATGGAGATAGACGGACAGAAACTGCGAGATGCCTTCACCTGGAACATGAATGGTAAATACACACATTAAGTAGTTTGCCGACATCCACAACATACCGTATTGTCTCCTGTGTGTCAGTTTTATACTTCTGTCTGGCCTCACCAATCTGCCACTCCTCAGAGAAACTGATGACCCCAGAGATGTTTGCAGAGATTTTATGTGATGACCTGGACCTGAATCCTCTGGCCTTTGTCCCCGCCATTGCCTCAGCCATTCGCCAGCAGATTGAGTCCTACCCCACTGACAGCATACTAGAGGAGCAGGCAGACCAGAGAGTCATCATCAAGGTGGGTGCTGAGCCAAGGGAATAACACTTCCTCAGGGAATATCAGGCAGCAAGAGACTGTGAACATAAACAAAATGAACATGTGAACATGGAGAAAACAAACCAACCAAAAAATTAACCTAACATGAATACATATGCAATGGGAAAGTGTGGTCTGAAGGTTGAGATGTAAATGACCCATTTTGTCCGGTTTTTAAAAATGTTTCCTTCTGGGTTCTCAAGTTGAAAGGAATTCCTCAATACTAGGTATTTCTCCTTTCAGCCATTTTTTAGTTAATATTTATCCTTCTTCCTTCATTCAAGTTCTTTCAGTTTAATCACACACATCAGCTCAAAACTAAAAATCAGTCTGTTTAGACAGACAGTTTCCAGGGTGATATGAATTTGAGTCCAAACTGCAGCCACATAAGGACAACACAGATAAATGGAAATGATTTGCATCTGTGTTCCCTCAATAGACATCAGAAAAAATGATATCCTCGGAGTGTGTAAGTCACACTGAATCTAAACGTGTGTATCACGTGCATATCATGTCCATGTGTTCATATTTGACTGAGTTATGACTCCCAAGGCACCCATGTTAACAGGTTAGAGCAGCCACACTGCCTGCATGACTTTCATGAGAGAGTCGAAGTGGAAGCATGCAGTTCTCAGCAGAAATAAACAGTGAAAAAGATCAACATTATACCAGCAACACTTTTCATTTCAGCTTCAATGTCTTCATCTGGTCACAGACATGAAACATATCAAAATATAATACATTTTATATAAAAAAATTTAAAAAAAAAAGTAACTGCCTAACTCTAGTGTTGGGTTCCCATGTGTCCTGGAAAATGAGGAAAAGTTTTTCTTGTACCAGTCCGTGCTCAGGCCTTAATGTTAAACTAATTTGAAGTCTCAAGCACTGCATCCCTAATGCCATCATTTAGTAGGCTTTTCATGTCAGAGAGGAGATGGAGAGACAGGATAGTGATACAGAATCAGAAAAATGCCACAGCTGTGGACTGAAGGAAACAGTTTGAAACAGTGTTCTCCACAACCCCCATAGCTGTTGATGGACCTCGGTTAGAAATTTGCAAAAACGTAGACTTTTGCTGTTAAAAAAGTATTTGTAATCTTGTGAAGACTATCCTCTGTTTTTCCTCCAGTGATAGAAGAATGTTGTGCCTTCTTTAGAAAGTGATGGACTGAGCCACTGTAATGTTAAAGGCAGTGGAATCAAAGACACCTACTGTTGGTAAAAAAAACAACAACATTGGAGTGTACAGATGTCTTTCTGATTCCTCAGCTGAACATCCACGTGGGGAACATTTCTCTGGTGGACCAGTTTGAGTGGGACATGTCAGAGAGGGAGAACTCGCCGGAGTCATTTGCACTGAAGCTGTGCTCTGAGCTGGGTCTGGGAGGAGAGTTTGTCACCACTATCGCCTACAGCATTCGTGGTCAGCTAAGCTGGCACCAGAGGACCTACGCCTTCAGGTAACTCACCCACTCACATTAACAGGGCAAGTAAAATCAATAGCTACAGTGGTCTTAAGCTTAAACCTAAACTGGATTTAAATCTCTTTCTAAAAGAAAACACGGTCAACATTGAGCACAATTTAAAGAGGGCACACAAAGAGCCAGTATTCACAAGTTACTTTGTTAATTCTGTGATTCTGTCACATATGTGCCATAGTTCAACTACCTGCACCCAGGCCTTAAAAATCTTGGACTAACAGAAAATAAGGCACTGTCATTGCTGCATTTTAGATAAATACAAGACCTTAAGCTTTGCAAATTGTATTGATTTTCACTATGTAATGTTTGTCTTTAAATGTTTAAATGAACTTCAGCCTCTCTGCAATACTGCAGAGCTGCAGCAGATCCACCAGAGAAGCTTCAAGTGGCAGTTGTAAAGTTCCATTCTGTTAAACAGCATTTTGCTCAGACAGTTTCTTCTGGCAGAGGAGCAAAGTCTTGAAATCTGCTACTAACGTCATCACTTAAGAGAGCTACCAAACCTTGTTTAATCAAGCAACAAACCTGTACTCATGTATAGCATTGAAATGTGACATCTTGAATTCTGTGTTCAATTTACACTTTTTTTTACCCTTCCTGTTTTAAACTCTTATTTTCATAAAAAGGTGTTGCGAATTAGCATCTGCTATAAACATTATGATACTTGCATCGGATAGCTGATGTTTAATGTATCTGTCCCTATGAAATAAACCATAAATAAATACCCCGGTGTGGGGGGAGTTTGTTACATTATCAGCATTTAAGCATCAGTAGACACATTGTAGTGGACAATATTGTTCATGTTATTAGACAAAGCAAGATCACCGTCTGCTTGATTGTTGTGAGATGACTTGTATTTTTTATGTTTTCATTAGTGTATAATCACGTGAATATAAGAATACGTTTTTGTTACCTTAGAATGAGATGTTTTCTGCAGAGGGAACAGCTCCTCTTCTGCGGAGGCCGCCATGTTGAACCGTCATGTTTCTACAGTAGCCCAGAACAGACAAACCAAACACTCAAATTCTACCAAACATATACTGACTTCAAAGGACTGTCTGACCCCACTTTACCTAAAAATGGTTTTAAACCATGTCTGTCTGTATTGTACCTGATCTTTGGTGGTGTAATTTGCCCACAGTGAGAACCCGCTCCCCACAGTAGAGATTGCCATCCGCAACACAGGCGATGCAGACCAGTGGTGCCCCCTACTTGAGACACTCACAGACGCTGAAATGGAGAAGAAGATTAGAGACCAGGACAGGAACACAAGGTAAGACAGTCAGGTTCATTCAGTAAATGCAGACCCACTCCACTGCTACCTGAGGTCTGTTGGGCCAAAGCTTACAATAACTGTGGCTAAAAAGACATTTGAAAGAATTAAATTGACTGCCTATTTTTGCTGAAGGGATGATCTCACAGAGAATCCAAAAGCACTACAATGCCTGATATTTAGATGTCATTTTGATGGATAAATTGCTGGCACTGCTGCAGGCTTTCTTAATATAAAATCATTTTGCAGCTAAATGACATAGTCGTCAAATGAATGTGCACACATGAGCAGAATGACAAATTAACAGGGTACAAGTTAATTAGCAACAGAGACCTGTTGCAAGAAGATCCCAGAGATACAGAGTTTTTGGTTTCAGTGCACCTGATTAGCAATCAATATATGGAATCAAACTGCAACGTAGTAAAAACACAAGTTAAATACTAATACAATTTAAAATGACTGTATAAAGACTCTATACTGACAGAAACACATTTAACTATTCAAAGAGATATTTCTCAAATGTTTATTAATTGTGTTATAAAGTTAGAACTGTTAGTGAGGGTGTGCAGTTAATAGGCTCCCCTATATCTGGAATAAATAGTGTAAAACTTCAATCAAAAAAAGGATGCAAAGTAGAAGCAGGTCTCCTTTAATAGCCTGTAGCTGTTACTGTAGCTACATGGTTTGACAAATAATAGCAGGTCTCAATTAGAGGCCTGTCCTGGATTTTATAGAAGTTCTTGTATAAAACCTTAAAGGCCCACTGGGTCACCCACATGTGTGTGTTCTAAGCTGCTTAGATCACCCACACAAATATAAATGTTTAAACTTTTGTCAGTATGGAGGCTACACTTCGTTAGATCAGTTAGATTCTCCACAGTTCAATCCTTCAGTTCATTTGACTTAATCTGAATGATCAAATTAATGATTCCTAATTGTTATTCGATTTTCTCATTTCTATACAAGTAATATTTATACTGGTTTAAATGTAGAAGAGTCCTGTTCCTAATAAAAGCAGTGATTGAAGTAAATTAAAGCCTGGGCTATTCATTGAAGTTTTACAGTATGTATAAAAAGTAAGATTCCAACACTGTGTCATCCAATAAGGAAATTCAAGTCTGGTGAACGAGAGGGCAACGCTGAATACAGTTTAATAGTGTTACTTATTAATTCCAACTCTTGAACTCACTCCTAAATGTCCTACACACACTTGTTTCTATAAATCCACAGGATTAAGAAGTAAGTATTTATCCGTTGCCATGGTGAACTGTAGCATCAGAGCTCCAGCATTGGTGTCTTTTTTTTTTTTTTCATTCACCGCTCAAGCACTCTAATCTGTGTTTTTCTAGGCGTATGAGACGACTAGCCAACACTGCGCCGTCCTGGTAGAAAGAGACACGAAGCTGCATCAGACGGTGTGTCCTCTGGAGACTCCTGTTACTCGGAAGCGATCAAACACACTCACAGGTCATTCTCAAAGCATTGATGGAGCACCTGGATGTTCCTGTGAGCACAAATGCACATGTGGTCAGTCTCCACGTCCACCTCACCGACTGAAACCAACACACACACACACACACACACACACATCCAGGCATTCCTCTGCACACAGGTCATCATGTTTCACTCTGACTGTAGCACATCAGTCAAGGATATCTAACCTAACATCACTGTTAGATAGTGTTTGATTGTCTCATGTCTGTTACACACACACCAACGTGCAACATTCACATCACACGTCTCAGCTCAAAATACTTCCATTACAGTACAGTGACTGACTTTAATGTGTCTATACGAGTGGTGAATGACACCATTAGTTTGTGCTGTTACATCAATCTGGACTGGATTTATATTACATTAACTCTTCTGCAGACCAGTTCTGCTGCTTTCTGTCTACCATGGTCAAAATTCCGATGGAATCAAGATGTAGCAGTAGCTCTGTGTCCCAGGACTGACAGAGCTCTATAAATGAGGTCAGTCATATTGACACCTGTGCTTTTCCCACTGTGACAGGTCAAAGGCACTAGTTCCACTTGTCATTTCCAGATAAAATCCAGATGAAATTTCATTTACACTCAGCCACATATATGCAGCTCTGTTGGTCAGATCACAAATCTGTGATTTCGCTGCTGTTACTGTTAATTAATGGGAATGATCATTTTTGCATCACAATTTTTAATTTACACTGCAAAACCTCCCTTTATACATTAATTAAAATAGTTACATTGGTTGGGGTCTTTACCAAACAAACATGTTTTCTTACATCTGTAGACCAAGACCTGTAGCCCAGGCTATCTCTGCATTCTTTATCATAATGCTGTTTGTCAAACAGTTTACCTTTGTCCAAAAATTACATATTGGACACCATCTTGCAATTTCCATAATATTTTGATCAATTGTGCAGCCCTAACAAGGTCAGAAGAGATAGACCGTGTATGTCAGACAGACAGTGAGTGGATATTTCCACTGTAAATATTATGTATGACTCTTGGAGAGATGGATGTATTTAGACCATTTTGACATCTGGTTAGAATGCGTCTTTGATATGTTTACACTAACATGAAGTGACTCTCTGTAAATGTGGTCAAAGTGTCTGTTGGGAAGAAGGTCTCTTAGGTCAGTGGTTGGGATTACTGTGGCAGGGTGTCCTGTAGATCTGTCATTTTCTAAGCAAAACAATGTGTCAAACTTTTTTTGTTCCAGCTTTTCAAATGAGCAGATGAGCTCGTCTGATCGGTACAGTAAATATCTTTGGGATTTGATACTGATCTGGCAAAATGGGCTCTAGGAAGTTATGATGGGCTTTTTTTCACTATTTTTTCATATTTTATAGACTACAGTTCAAACTGGCCTTTGACATCAAACCTTTGTTGGTGGACGATACCCCTTAAAATAATACATAATGCCCCTCTGTGTAGGGGTTCTGACTTAAGTGGCTGATAGTGAGAGGACCAAAAAAAACCCAGTTCTCATTGGGATGGTGTTAATCGGTAAACAAACTTGTCTACAAACAAAAACTCTTCTGCTATCAGTTGAAAAATGCAGTAATCACATTCAAATCCTTCATATAGATATTACTGAGCCACATTCAAGTGTTTTGCCTACTTCTATATACTGTGGGTGATGTTAGTGTTTGTACCTGACTGAAATGACCAGTGTGCATGTGTGAAATCAAACTACCCCCTGGTAATGTTGCTGCTGTCCCGACAGCTCTTCAGACAGCGGCCAGTGGCTGCAGCCAATCAGAGAGTTAGATTTTAGCACGCAGACTCTGCATTCTGATCTTGGTTACGGATTCTGATCAGCTGTGTGCACCAGTGTTCATCTGCATGCTATAACATAGGTAGTTCATCCTGTAACCTGTGCATGAGGGGCTAATGTGTCCCACTGTTCCTTCTGTTTGCACTGTGCCTCACATTGCAGCAGTGTCAGCAGACTGCAGCCTCTGTTTTACTGGCAGTGTTGTTGAAAAAAATCAAGCTGACAAGAACCAATGGTGTCTTTTTAAAGTGATTTTCAACTTGAACATACTCCAGAGAATGATGTTAACGTATGTACTGTTGCTTCTTGTTCTCTTCTTTTGTAATATTGCTTTACCTTTATAGTGGACTCGTTTTTTATATGAAAAATAACAATACAGAAAACTTGTTGGAAATGTGTTGTTGTTTTTTTACTTATTTTCTTCACAGTTGCAATATGAGTGGACAGAGTCCACAACACAACTGAAATAGAAATGGAGTAAAAAAAGATAAAAAAGGGCGTCTATTATCTCTTTACAACCTATTGGAACATTCGATTCAGACCAGCTGAGCATTTTCCTTTTAGTCCTCCTTTAAGTCCTTAGATAGTAAGTCAGTTTTTCTATGGGAAATATTTCCTCCACAATGTCCAGCCACTGTGCTGGACTTGGTGGGTCACATTTCTGCCAGCTCCTAGTGATGGCCCTTTTACAAGCAAGTAGATCAGGATTCTGAAGAGGTACATATTCTTCTTCTGAACTATGTCATTAGGTATCAATCCAAGGTACACAATCTGGGGGTGCCTGGGAATCTTAACATAAAATCTTCTACCCGGTGTGTGTTTTTAATTTGGATATTTTGTTAAGATGAATAACTTTGCGTAAAAGGTATGGGAGTCTATTCAGTAATTACTCGTACAACTATGGCTGTTGGTATTGGCAAGAATCTGCCGATATGATGCGTAACAGGACACAATATCTTTCTGTTTTCTTACACTGCCATGTACAACATGGATGAAAATCTACATTTTCCTAGTGTGTAAGAGGAAGAATTCCTCAAAGGCACTGACAGAATCTTGGTCACTATCTATAAAGTCACTCGGAGAAAAAATTGTATCTTTAATGTGTCAAAATGATAAGAATGGTGTATCTTTTTATATATATTTTTGGGTGGTGGGGGCCTTTTTTCATTTGTTAGACAGGGCAGCTGAAGACAGTCAGAAAAAGGGTAGCGAGAGAGGGGATGACAAACAGAAAAGGACCACAGGTCAGATTCAAACCCATGGCCACTGCAGCAGGGAGTCAGTCTTGGTGAGCTATGGGGAGCCCCAGAATGATGAAATGTTTATCTTATTTAAATGTTCTTCAATGGTCAGATTTTAAGAGTATAATTTAGATTAATTAAGTCTGCCAACTCATCACAGCGATAGGTCTCATTTTACCTGACATAAAAATAAACCCAATAAGTTTCATGCAGTGAGGTATAGAGATTTAAAATTTAAAGATCCCTTCCAGACATGTTTGAAAACATATATACCAGTACACTGCTTGGGACAATAATGTGTGTCTGACATATTTAAAAAAAAAAAGAATTTCCACCTTGAAATCCCTAAAAAAATCACCCACTCCTACCTAATTAAACCTTCCAGAATCTCTGAATATGCAA